CCATAATTGATTTATATCTCCATCGGAATTCCTTATTCTAGTGCTTCTTGTTCTAGTCTATTTGCTTCTAACATGCATATTTTCTGTTGAATTCTTGTTCATTTTAATGCAGCCATCTGATTTGCAATTGTCAAATCCTGTTGGTGAGTATACTTTCTATCAAGGTGTATGCTTAATATCCTACGAAATTGAAAATACATTGTTTTGTTATTTTGCATTTTTTTTATAAGAAATGGAGGCCTCTTTAAAAACCTCCCTTCATGATTACTAAAACACCATAAGGTGTTCTAGAAATCAACGGAAGAACGAAAAAAGTGCCTCAAATTTTATTAATAAAAGAGTAATACAATGCATATGATTACAACCAAACTTACCCCCATACAATAGATAAAACCAAAAAACAAGAAAAAAAAATAAAACCCAACCAAAACTCCCTAACTTAGCCAATTCTAGACTTTGCTAAAACTTCTGCCTCTAAGTTTGTTGGCCTAGCTATCCAACGAATAATGCCCTCCAAGTTCCTTATATTTTCCGTAATTTCTTTAGAAATTGAAACATACAAACTTGACATTTATCCAAATTCTTAATCCAGTCCAGAGATAACTTACTATCACTCTCAATAATCAACAGTCTCTTAGAGCACCAGCTAGAAGATTCAAAGAAAATTAAATCATGTTTAATGACCTTTAATTCCATTAAAGAAGGACCTGGACCAGCAACTTCTTGAAAACATCCTAGCATTGTGTCAGACTCGTCTCTTAGAATCCCACCTAAATCGCTAGCCTTCCAATCACCTTTGACAGCAGCATCCACGTTCAAGATTGGGATACTCACACTTCAATCTCCAAATCTAGCCATGGGATTGGATTAAAACCTTGGCTGTGGTCTGCCCACATCCTTTAATGACTTTTTGTTAAAGTCCTCCTAGAAGCCCTTCAATCGCATGGAACTTCCCAACAAGGCCTGGCCACCATGGAAGAAGAAGTATGAGGGAAGGAGGATGTCACATGGTGTGTGTTTACATTGGTCCAAAAATAATTTTTTTGACGTTCAGGGGTCAAAATATATAATGGAGCCGTACTTTATGGTGCAAAGCGGGGATATGGTATACTAGCTAGGAGGACCAAATTGTGAATATTTTAAATGGAAGACTATATTAGATGTTTCATTTGTAATGTAGAAGATTCCACATGTTGGAATTCTCATAGAAACTGAACTTGATTTATGCAGGAAATGCAACAATACAAATTAAGCCGTAAGTTTGCTGATGAGAGTGCTCTGCTCTGCCTGAAAAGAATAAAACTTGCCTATTCATTTGTTTGTTTATGTTCATTCGTTTATGTCTGTTCATTTATATTCAACTTAATCTCTAAAATCGTTCAAAATATTAAGATCTAATAAATTTTAACTTTAAATCCATTAACATTTTAAAGTCTAATTAATTTTAAACCTAAATAAAAAATATCCAAATCAATTAAGGAAAATATAAACCCTAAAATTATTTAGAAAAAAAACTCTTCTCAAATATAAAGCTGATTAATTTTATGTTTGTTCTTTTGTGTTTGTTCATTTGTATTCGTTTATCATTTTAATGAACGAACATGAATGAGTTGCATTCTTTAATTAACGAACACGAACATGAATGAGTTGCATTCTTTAATTAACGAACACGAACAAAATTTCATTCATTTAATTGTTCGTGTTCGTTTATTCGATTAAAATTAAATAAAAAAAATATAAATACATTCTCGTTCGTATCCGTTGAGCTCATTTATGGGTTTCCTCTTGAGCGTTGAACTCTTTTGTTTCTTTCTATTCTAGTGTCGCTCCAACAAAGGGTATTGTTGATTCTAATGCCATTGCTGTCATTTATTCCGAACAAGGTTACACCATGATTGGATATTGATTTTTTTTAATTATTTAAATTAATTTTTATTGAGTGATTAAATATTAACACGTTTCGTCGATATGCATCACATGTATTTTCTTTAAATAAATTTGTTTAATTTTCTTTAACAATATTAGCTTGACTGTATTACTGAAAATCCAATAAATATGTGCTTAATCAACCTCGTCCTTTTATTATTGTGCCACGTAAACGAAAACATAATTTTGAGTGCTACGTAAAAATATACCCAATCAAAAATATCATTTTATAATTTTAACAAAAAATATTATTTTGATAAATAATGAGGTATATATATATATATATATCAAATTTGTACTTTATTTTTAAAATTATAAATTTCGATAAATGAGCATATATTTTAAGTTCTATTTACCAAAACTAATTGTTCTCGGTGAAAAAGGGATGGAAGTAGAGCTGCACGCGGCCTGCTTGCGCGTGACAAAGTTGCTGCTGAAAATGATATATGCAACAGTTATTGCGTTGCTGAGAGAAGATTACACTACAGAAAGCAATTTAGGGTAACCTACAAAAATAGTCATTAAATTTTTAGAGAAATTATATTTTAGTCACTATATTTTTAAAACTTATAATACAATTATTGAATCTTTAATTTGATTTCCTTACAGTGATTAATTTGATTTTAGAGTTTTGCAACTCTTAACTCTACAAATAAATAAATGATTATCTTAAAAAATAATAATATGGATGCAACATTCGATGAAATATAGATAATTTGATGTATTGTCATACAACTGACATATGCTCTTCAATTTCATATAAGTTTTATGAAAAATTGAGTATTTGGATCTATATAATTAAGTGTTGTAGCTATTTTTTTCCAACCATTTGAACATTAAAATCGTCCAAGAACAATTTTGTCTCATTTTCTTAATTTCATTTGCAAGACTTGGTTGTATTCATTATTCAACAAGCTCCGAGCAACACTAAAAGTCTCTTCGAATTCAAGTTCCCATGTTAAGGAGCTCTAAAAGTCTCCTCGAATTCAAGTTTTTATTGTAATGTTATTTCAAATTTTATCTATTGTTTGATCGTGAGAAGATAAAATGAGTTGCAAATAATATTGTGTTGAGTCAAAAGTACATTTTTTAATTTCAAATTTTAAGATTATTGTTGGAGAAGACCACATCAGTATCTCTTACGGCCGTGACTATAATGGAAGTGAATTAAAAATTCAATGATGTTATAGCAATGTTTAAAAGTTTGACAACCAAAACACAAGCGGACAAAATGTTTGGTGACTACTTCGTAGTTTATCCAGCAATTTATTATACTTGGCAGAACACGCCAAAAAAATATTTAAAACCAAACCTGAAAAAGCAACAATGAGAACTGCTATTTTGAAGTAGCTGAAGAGACGCTGGTGGTGGGGGAGAGCTAACGGTGGTGACTGGTAAGTTCCCGAAATTGAAAAAATCACTCCTTTTTCATTCTACTTTTCAAAATGGGGTTTTCACAAGATTACAAACAATGTTATCCAAGCGGATGTTTGCTTTTTTTTTTGGGTTTTATATAAAAGCAAAAAGATCCAAAACTAACAAGTGAACGTTTTTTGTGAAGCAGGACACGATTTTCTATTTAGTTTGTTTGGAAGGGAGGAAAAGGGTGACATGCACAGAGTTCACGCTTTGTAGATGGAATAGAACAATGCTCGATAGTGTTGTGTCTCTTCCATTTCATCAAAATCCCAAAGGTATATCACTTTTCTTCCTTTTCCTTTCTTTGTTTTTAGTTGTCCTGGGATTCTTGTACTTTGTATATCTAGTACTTCTTATCTATGTATCTTTCTATATATGCTTAGAAATCTTATTGTTGTGTCTATAAAGTTATAAGGCCGTGAATTTGGTTGTATTTTGATCCTGGGATGGTGGGTTGGAATGCACTTGTATAGATTTGCATGCATGGAAAAACTTTTGTGTTTGAGATTTTGTTGAGCTTATTTGAGCAAGAATCCATTTAACTTCTCTGCCCTTATGGTCATAGGGGTAAGTTATTGGTAATATTTGGTGTTTTTGGATCATGCATTTCACTGTTAGCACCTGCTGTTTCTTTATCATAACTGAGAATATATGTTTGAAAATGTAATGGTTTCCTTCATCTCTTTTCATTTTAAAAGTTGATTATTGTCTGATTTAGTCGGCAATAGCAAAAAGGATTACTAGTTAGTAGTAATCCACGTAGCTCTCGCTAAAGTGCATACATGTACAGATATTGATATATCACTCGTGCCTCTGTTTGTCTCAACATGGAGATTCGAATCTAAAATTCCTTTGTTTGTCACATCACGAAGACTCGAATCTAAAATCCCCTTGTTTGTTGCAACATGTTGATTCAAATCCAAAATATAAATCAAAAGTGGCTCAAATCCATCTGATTTGGGCTGACAATAGGAATATAATTGCACCCCTCCAGTTTTAGATTGACAACTTGAAGGGTTTTTTCCGATAATTTTCTAAAATTCTAATACATATTAGATATTAATGCAATATCGGAATTCTTTTTCTTTAGAAAAATCTGATATGAAGTGAAAATGAGAAATCATTTTTTATCTTGATTTTGCATGATATTTTCCATGCTCAGTGAGGCAATATCATCAAAACAAGATTTGTTCTAAACTCCTTGTCTAATCAATTATCAGATGATGAACTACAATGGGGTGTGTGTAACATGTGGAGTTTTCTTTATTTGTATAATAATTATTTCCCTGGAAGTAATTGTCTTTTATATAATTCTTTATGACTCTAATGGTCTATGAATGTGCACGGTTGTCCTAGTGAACCTTCTGTTCCACCAATAAATATTTTATATCTAAGTTTAGCAGTACAGAGTGGTTGCTTTAAAGGTTAAACTGCTTTCCATACTTGTTCCAGTTCTTCCTTATCTGTTGAAATCTGACATTAAGTTGGTTTAATAAACTTTTGAATACCTCGTGAAAGAAGCGTTATGGTTCTATACTAGGTCACTGATGTATACGAGCTGACTATAAATAGCGGCAAAGATATCTTCTCAACACTTTCAAAAATCCTTTTGAGCTTACTCTTAAGTCTAGATATTTCGGACCAGTAGTTACAGCAATGCAAAACAAAAAGGATTCTGCTGTCAGTTCTCACTCGACGTGCACATATGTTGTTGGGTGCCCATCTTGGGAAAACTCAACTGGATCTCATGTCCAGCAATCAAATATGTCCGAAAGTTTAATCCTGAAGATGGGAGTTCTGCCTCGATACTTAAACAACACCAGGCAGCTAAGTTTTCAGTTCCAGGACCAGGACTCATCATCAACTCAATCGACTTGTCAATCTTATCCTGAAGTGGCTAGTGCTGGTGATAGTACTCTTAACGAGCAAAGTTTAATTTCAGCATCATCAGGTCTCTATATTTGCCCGATACCCCCAAGTATGAGTGTGGGATAATGATTGATCTTTGAAAATCTGATTATCTGTTTTTACATCTGCTCAGGAGGTAGCAAAGCTCACAGGAAGCTTGATGGAGGTCATGCTAAATTAGCCTTCTCTATGAGAGCTCAGGAATATGGGCTCGCTCCTTCACAAGTTGACTATATCAAATCAATTGTAAGTTATTGGTTAAACTACTCATGTGATTTGGTTGCTATGCATTCTAGATTTATCATAGTCTTGGATGTCGATTTTTTGTTCTGCAGGCTCATATTCCGCTCCCTTATGCTGATCCGTATTTCAGCAGTGTGGCTTCTCCTTATGCCCCACAAGCTATGGTAAAGTCATTTTGATTTTTTTACGTCCCCATATTGCATTTGTCTATTTGATGGTGAGCACTTCACTCTAGCATGACACTGGTTCATGGAAAAGGGGCTAGTTCCTTTTGAAATCTTGTTTAACACCATAAATGATTTATTCAGGATTCAATTATACCTTTGTTATGTTTGACGAGACAAAAGATATGTCTTATTTGTTATCCATTTGTGAGATATTTGTCATTGTATTGCTGGCAGATTCAACCTCGTACGATGGGTGTACTGCCTGCTCGTGTTCCACTGCCTTTGGAGCTTACACAAGATGGACCTATCTATGTTAACGCAAAGCAATATCAGGCTATTCTGAGGCGAAGACAGAATCGTGCAAAACTTGAGGCTCAGAACAAACTCATCAAAGCTCGAAAGGTGCCTCAAGTTTTTCCTTCTTGCTGCATGGGAATTGCAACTTCACATATGATTATAGTGTCATTATTTGGCTAACAAAGATATTAACTGAGAAGTTCTTTTTATAAATGTTTGCAGCCATATCTGCATGAATCCCGACATCTTCATGCTTTAAAACGAGCTAGAGGAAGCAGTGGCCGATTTCTCAACACAAAGAAACTCCAGGAATCAAACGGTATTCCTACAAGCAACAGTCTAGACATGTACATCTCCCAATCCGAAGTTCATCAGCTGAAAAACTACAAAGATACTGGTTCAACTACCTCCAACAATGATGAAATGTTCCAGCATCTGGATTTCAGGTTTTCCGCACATCCTTCTCACGTTTGTGGACCCATGCCCGGTCTTGCTGTCAATATGCAAGGTGGTGGAAACGTCCATCGTCATCTCTGAAGATAGACGAGTTAACAAGTACTCGTCTGAGTAGTCTTGCGAATAAAAAGCGTCTGCTTTGTTCCCATGGGAAGTCATCCTTGGCTCTGTTTACTTTGTTGTTCTAGTTTACTTTCTCCTTTCATCATAGACTGTTTCAAAACCATGGACATGGATTGGTTATCTCTTGCCGAGAACTCCTAAACATGCTGTGTTTTTTACCGTTTATGTTTCGTTCCGAAGAAACTTGGTGAATTGGTGGTTGTTGGTGGTGTTTAAAACACAGGATAAAAATGCATGGCTAACAATTAGATCATGCCTTTTCAATTCCAAGATATGCCATTTCTGCAAGCATGTTGGAAATGAAATAGCTGAAATAGACTGCATGATGTTTTATTTCTTCATATTTGGATTGCTGTTTTCAATTTACAATATGCTTAAGAATTCTCTTGCATCATTATGAATTTTGTGCCTTGGTGCTAATCTTCATTGGTCATTCTTTACTATATATAAAGAAATAAAAAATTTAAGGTAAAGTATACAAATAGTCTCTGACTATAAGAGGTTACTTTGCCGAGTTATAAAGTGATCCTCCAACTATAGGACATTATTTTTGTTGAGTAATCTGACTATTAAAAGTTACAAAATAGTCACCCGACTATTCATATGTTATAAATTTCTCTTTTTTTGTTAAAATTTAATGTTAATATAAGTTGAACGTTAACATACTAATTGGAATATAATAAAATTTGATCTCAGAATTTCAAACAATTATCATATCTCAGCCGACTATCAATTTTCTGATGGAAAATGACAAGTTTGGAACATATGAATAGCTGAATGACTATTTTGTAACTTTAATACTCGAATTACTCAACAAAGCAACACACGATAGTTAGAGGATCATTTTGTAACTTTTAATAGTTAGAGGAGTTAACAAAGCAGTGTCTCTTAGTTGGGGGACCATTTGTGTACTTTAACCAATAATATAATGGAAATAGAAGAAGAAAAAATTATCATTTGTTTTATAGTATGATCAAATTGATAAAATATATAAATTTTAAAGACTAAAATTTTACTATACCAAATCATGTCACTGTTCATTTAATATTTAGCCACTTAAATGTGACTATAAATCAAACCAGAACTTAAATAAACGTCCCAAACTATTAAGTTATTACAAACCACAGGTGACTAAAACGTTGTAAAGTCGTACCCTTCTACCGAGAATCGACCGCGATCAAGGTCGATTCTCGAGAGCCGAGGCTGCTGAGCCAACATGGCTAAGCAAACATGTATAAACCTTTTGATTCAACCTTTCAACAGTTTCCATCGTTCCATTGTTATCTGAGCTCAAACTGTTTCATACTTTCCCCAACCATTCATTCGCATGTTTGAGTTGTGACAGTGTGACAGCAACGTGGTTGTCATGTTCCGCCAACCGCCCCGAGCCAGTTTTCCCTTTCTTTTCCTCGGAACCGATCCGGAATCCAACATCCAATGCCACCTTTAGGAATTTCAAAAACCAAGCTCTGGATTCATGCACCAAGGTTTCCCTCAGTTCTTTTATGTCTTTGACATCCCCTTTGGCCCATTCGAGCTTCTAGGCTCCACTCAACTGTACTGAAGACTTGGTGGACTTTAATGATCATTTTTCATGGATGAGATCCTTCTTTTTGTTAGACTTTTCTGTGTCTATCATAGATGGAAGATTAGATGATTGAGGGTGTTTATCTTTATGTGTTGTCACACTCGGTTGGTCGATTAGCTGTTGTAGAGTGAAGAACTTGGCGAGTGACATATGAGAGTTCTCTGGTGAGGCGGCAGAGCATAGATCGGAAAACATGCTGAAACAAGACATGAATCATTGTTACATACATCTAGGCATTCAAATCTTGATTCTTTTAAGAGAATTTCGAGTCCCAAAAAATTGTGCTTACCTAAGACATTTGACAAGATTGGCTGCCATGGATGCTTCCCTTTGAGACTCTGCTGCAACCAAAGAAGTTAGATTTCTTCTTCTAAGCATTCCCTTGTGAGAAATGATTGTTAACATGTGAGAAATAAGAACTGCATTGAAGATTTAAACGTAAAAATCTTTCAGTTTTGGTTTATATATATATATATATATATATACCTTTCCTGGCTTCAACAGACTTGCAGGCAGAGAGTTCCATGAACCTGTTTCGGCTAAAGTACTATTTTCTTTGTTGTTCTGCGAACAATTCGAGTTCGTTTGTTCATGTTTACTTGAAGAACGTTTTAAAGATGCGCTCTTTGGAAGCACTATTGTGTTGGATGCAATAACCTCAGGCTTCGAAACCGGCACCTCCGGCCTTCCACGAGACGGACTTGACGGTTATGTCTGTAATGCTAAAACTCGATATTATCACAAATTGGTACTTGGTACGTAGTATATGCATTACTTTCCTTACGTATGTCGAACAAGAATCTTACCTGACCTTTAGGCTCCTGTTGCTTGCTTTTTGCCTTTTTACCTGCACCACCGTTCTCATCCTCAATGCTTTTTACATTGCTATTCGAATTTGAATCTGGTGCACTTGCTTTCAGATTCGATGGCAGAACGCCCTGCATGTATCTCGATGCAACACTTGATTTTTCCTCTTTGATAATGATTTTCTTTCTCGGACTCTCCTCTCTCTCGCGTCCACCGGCTCCTTCGCCTTCGAACCGATACTATTTCCTTCGTTATCTATGGACACCAGACTCTCCGATGGAACCAACATCTGCATCAGATCCTTGGGATTGCTAATGAAAGGGTTCCTTCCAGGAATTGGCTTGACACCAGCAAGGATGGGAACCGGGGTCCCGGATTCGACTCACTCGACGTAAAAGAACTGACCGAGCTGTAACTAATGTTGGTAATGATCAATCCCACATAGTATTGGAAACACTATTGGGAATGAGTATTTATAGTATGGAATTCCCACTTCCTTGTTGAGTGAAAGAGAACAAGGGGGACTCTCGCGCACCGTCGTCCGTCCGTCTCGTCTCGTCTCGTGGTCGTGGTCGTGGTTGTAACATCCTCCATACTGGGTTAGTGATCAAACTGTGAAATTATAAAATTCAGTGACCAAAGTAGATAAATTGAATAGTTGAAAGATTTAATGGGAATGTTTTGTGTAGGATCAATTAACAAAGAAGGATGAACTAAAGGGGTAAAAGAGTCTTTTAATAGGGGAAATAATTAAATATTAGATGAGGATATTTAAATCCACATGGAAGGCAAATGAATAGAACAAAAGTTTCTAGATTTCTCTTCTTCTTCACTTCTTCTTCTCCATCGAGAGACCAAGCTAAAGGTGAGTTTTCTTGTTGATTAAATTCTTGATGAATTTAAGGTTTTTTATTGATCCTTAGTTGATAACTAAGCTTAAGGAAAGCTTAGATTATCTTAAAACCATAAGATGAGGAGAATATGAAGAATCAAAGAAAGGAAGTAGAAAAGTGAAATCTTGGATTATAGTTCCTAATAAGAATTAGAAGTGGGATTTGACTTGTCATAAAGCTAACTAAGAAGTATGAGGTGTTAGAATTCAAATTAGATTATGTTGGAATTTGGGTTAGATTCTTAAATTCTACATGGAGAATTGGATTTTTAAGTTTCAAAAGTATGGAATGGATAATAATTAGTTTAAGTAAGAGTATGCAAGTTAAGGATATTAAAAGAGAGGGGAAATATAAAGTGTTAAGTAGACTAAGAAGAGATTTTCGTGCTAAAATGACAATTCTGGGCAATGTGCATCGATGCACATTCATTGTGCACCGATGCATCAATGATAAATCCCAGAAATTGTTTAAGGTGCATCGATGCACATGAAGTGCATCGATGCATTAATTTAAAAGAAAACATCGAATGCCATCGATGCATCGATGCATAAGGAGTGCATCGATGCACCCCATTAAATACAAACATCGAATAGGATTTATGCATCGATGCATGGTGTAGTGCATCAATGCATACCTCCATTAAAAGATGGAAATGGCTTTTCTTTTAGCCTAAGAAATGATAGTTTAGAATATATTAATTAGTATACTGATAAGTATCAATGAATTACTATGTAGATATCGAGCCTAAACGAGTTCCGGAACCATCAACAAGTAGGATCAATCGATGGAAAGACAAAGAAATCTAGGTGAGTGCATATGCATAGCATGAATATGTATTTTATTTAGTTCTAGACTTGTGATAAGTCTAGATTCAATATTTTGATACATGATAGTATTTCATATTATGATATATGACATGAATCCATACCATATGCATTATGGGACATGAATATGCAAGAAAAAGTTATATGAGTTATGTGATAAATGTATGAAAATAATATGTCTACGTGATACAAATAAGATAAATTGTGAAAGTCCATGTTATGTAAATGAGAACTATAGGTATAGTTGGCATGCCAAGTGTAGAGGGTCTATGTGGTCCTTCAGGACATATATGTATTCTTTGGAACATGTGTGAAGTCTGGTGAGACACATACTTGATCCTTGGCATATGTATATGATTCTTAAGGAATGATATGTGGTCCTTCGGGACATATATGTATTCTTTGGAACATGTGTGAAGTCTGGTGAGACACATACTTGATCCCTAGTATATGTATATGATTCTTAATGAATGATATGTGGTCCTTATGGACATTATTATATGGTACTACGGTGCAATTCTACGCGGCACTCTGGTGCAATTCTACGTGGCACTTCGGTGTAATTATATGAGCTGTGGTGACAACATAGTGCACAACCTCACAATACTCACATACCTTAGGTTCTCTGTATGGTACCATGGGCTAATGAACTTACTAAGGTGAACTTATTAATGTGAATTTGATAAGTATATGTGTAAGAAACATGGTTCTGGTTATTGCATTTTTTACATACATCTTATCATTGCAATCCATCCCAATTTGGCAATTACTTTATATTTATTGATATTATTATTATATCGCCTCACTAAGTCGATGACTTAGCGTGTGAGTGTTTCACACGTAGGA